TATATATATATATATATATATATATATATATATATATTTATGTATGTATGTATGTATGTATGTAGGTATGTATACAGGTCTCCCCCACTTTTTGAAAGTTCACCTATGCACTAGCTTTTACAAAAGACATATGTTATTAGTACAGTCAGGGTTCTGCATTCAAGGAACCACATATGGAAAATATTTGAAAAAAATGTTACATTGTTGCTGATGTGTACTATGTAGTTAGGCCTACAATCATTGCATCCATTCTGAATAGCTAGACTTTTTTCTTGTCATTGTTGCCTAAACAATACAGTATAACAACTATTCACATAGCATTTACATTGTATTAGGTATTGTAAGTAGCCTCGAGATGATTAAAATATACACAGAAGGATGTGCATAGGTTAAATGGGAATATAACAGTGTACACTGGTAAGTGAAACTACACTGTACATACATTACTTCTACTTTATATAGGCTGTGTATTTATTGTCTCATTCCTGCTTTAATATATGTTAGTGTTATTTCAGATATATATGTTATTTGGTATGATTTGGTAGGTTATTTGGTGGCTAGGGAACCCTCAAAAATTTTTTTCCTATGTAAATTAATGGTAATTGTATCTTTGCTTTAGGCTATTGAAGCTTATAGAAGGTTTTATAGAAATGCTGTACTTTTGGATACCAAGAGAAACCTGTATACACATTTATTTGAACCGTTTGAGAGTAAGTTCCAGACGTCATGGGCCCTAATAATTTCAGCATACGAGTATATTTCCCAAGAATAAGGGCAGTCTTTACATAACCCAGTACAGTAATAAAAAAATCAATAAATTTAATGTTGATACAATACTATTATCTAATGCACAATCAAGTTTTGCTAATTGTCTCAATGCTGCCCTTTATAATAATTCCCCCTACTCCAGGACCTAATCCAGGACCATGTATTGCATTTAGTTGTCGGGTCTTTTTAGTCTCCCTTAATCTGCAACAGTTCTTCAGCTTTTCTTTCATGACAGGCTTTTTTTTGGAAAAGTACAGACCAGTTATTCTGTAGCATGTTCCTCAGTTTGGGTTTGTTTGATGTTTCCTCATGGATAGATTAATTTCATGCATTGCTGACTGGATGGTGATGCTGTGTCTTCTCAGTGTACCACATCGGGAGGTGAGCGATGGATGTCAGTTTCTCCTGGTGTAAATGTTAATGTGGACCACTTGGGTTAAGGTGGTGTGGCAGGGTTTCTCTACTATAGGGTTACTATTTCCTCTTTTTAATTATCAAGCAATTTGTGGCTATTTATGTGGAAGGCTTGGAATGTGCCTTCAATTTCATGGGCCAAAAAAGGCGAGCCTTTCCATTCAGGAAATGGATACTATTTCTTGCCGAAGCGCAAGACAGCAGCACTGTCTTCGGCAGTAACAGCCTTTCTCAATAAAGTTACGTGTATGGGCATCTTTCCGGGAGGGCTGGGACGGTGGGCCGCAAGGCATCAAGGGAATTGTAGTCTCCCTGGCCCTCCTGGCTAAACGCCGCCCTGTGGCCTCTCGGAGAAAGAGCCAGAAGCCGAAAAGGGAGGGCGAAGAGGGAGCTGGCGGGGCTCTCTGGAAGCGATGCATCATGGGACTGGTAGTTTGCGGTCGCGCTCCGCAGCGTCCCGCGCGGAGGAACTGCACTACCATACCCGAGAGGCCACGCGCGCGGGGGCAGGGGAAGCCGCCCGGGCCTCGAACAAATCAAATCCAAGAGAAGAAACTGCCGGCTTTCAAAATCATCCTCCTCCGCCATCATCCGCCACCGTGCGGGGAGCAGGTGGTGTCGGAGACGCGAGTAGCGAGAACCGCTGGGGGAGCTGACAGGCGGGTTGGGCATCGGGACCGCAGGACTCGGAGGCGACGACCCCGACCTGACCTGACCCAGACCCTAAATCAGTCCCCACCCCGCTGGGCGGACGCGGGCGCTCGGGTCGCCCCACGCGGCGGTGCCGTCTGTTTACGGTAGGGTCGGGGTCCCTTTCCCCGTCACCTGTGTGGGATGAGGGCGGCGGGAGCGGCGGGGGTTGCGGCGTGGCCCTGGAACTAGGCAAGGACGGTGTGGCGCCCCTGAGCGCCTTCCCCCCTGCGCCTTTGGCAGCGAAGAGCGGGGAGGGGGTGGAAGTGGGGGTGCTGGCCCCTTTCACGAGTGAGGAAACTGAGACTTAGAAAAGGCGCCTGGCTCGCCCGGGCTGCCCAGCCCGCCGCTGCCAGCCGTGGCGTCTCCTGTTAGCGTCGGTGTCAACTGGGGGCGGTGCGCGTCTGCCAGGGATCCCGGGTGCGGCTCCCGCGCTACCCGCCTGTCATTTGCGGCCCGCACTCGCGCGTCGCTCCCTCGCCGCCACCTCCCAATAGGCCTACACCGGTGAAGGGCCTGAGGTGGCGCCGCAGCACACGGGAATTGGCGTGAGTCACTGCTAACGCTTCGCAGAAGCGATGGATGTGCACCTAAGAAACTGACGCCCCTGCGGAGAAGGGAGAGGACTGTTTGTGTATCGACCATTTTTTTGCTCTGCCCCTGCTCCTTTGCAGACTTTGGACAAATGAATTCACCTCTCTGTGCTTTGGTTTCTTAGTCTTTAAAGCTGATCGTGTGTGTATGCTAGACTAAAGGATGGGCTTTCCTCCAGCTGATAAGTTGTGTTCCCATTCCATCTGGAGGCCCCACCACCGTTTTTCTAGCCTCAAATTGTCTCCGCCCAGAACTGCAAGTGGTGGTGGGGTTTCGGGCTAATTTTTATTCAGTTTCATCCCATCATTGGAGCACTCTCTAATTACCAGGCCCAGTGCGGCAGATAGAGTGATCCTGTCAAAACATATGTCAGATCACCTCTCCCCTCTGCTCCAAACGTTGCAGTGGCTCTCTTTGTCACTCAGATAAACGCCACAGTTCTTAAAATGGCCTTTGTGACTTGGCCTCTTGTTAATTCTCTTTTCTCATCTCTTACCTCCCTTTCTGTCTGTGCTCCAGCCCCACTGGCCTCCTTGAAGTTCCTCTACCTCACAAGAGCCTGTTGCATTTGCAAGAGTGCTCTTCCGCCAGGTATCTGCATGACCCAATCCCTGACAGCCTTCAAGTCTTTGTTTCTTTCCTAATAATCCTCCTTTAAACATTCTACTTGAAATTGCACACACCCCCCAAAAAAAATTCCTTACCCGATTCCTTCCCTGTTTATTTTTCTTATCAGACACTGAGTATCTTATTTAAGATACTAAATATCTTGTTTAGAACATGTTTCAAGAGGGCAGGGTTTTTGTTTCATTCACTGCTACACTCCTGGTACCTGGAACAATGCCCAGCACACAGTAGTACTCAATAAATGTTGAATGAATGAGTGGACACCTCCTTACCCAGAAGAATAATTCATGCTTATTGATAAAAACATACAGACCAGAGTGGGGATAAGGGTTAAGATAAGAAATAGGTGGGAAGCTGCTGTTTGGGCCCAGAGGAAGCCTGGGGGAGTGGGAGGATGGGGCGCTATCACAACTGTATGTTGAGGATGAGAAGACTGGGGGAGGAAGTGTTCTGGATAGAAGGAGCCTGTGGGCATCTCCCAGTTCTATCCTCCATATCAGTCTTCTTGGTCTCCCCTAATTACCTGCCATTTCCTCTTTGGGGAAATGGAGTGGTCCTTTCTGCTGAGCTCTAGGCTGGAAGCTCCTTTTTCCAGCATCTCTGCCCTTGGTCTATTGTGATGATGACTGTTGTGATGTAGAAACCTCTGGTCTCCTAGGAGCCCCGGAGGCCCAACCACCATGGGCTGCCTTGTCTCCTGGCCAAGGGTGAAACCAGATGTGCAGTGGGCTGACTCCTGTGCTCCACCCCCAGAGTCATGCCATTGTAGGTAGTGGGGTATTCTCTGGGATGGATGACCTGGATCCCATAGCCATCTGTGTTCTGTTTGAGGAATGGGCCCCTCAAACAGAGAGCAGCCAGGATGATCAGACAGGTGTGTGCCTGGGATAGACTTTTTGCAGCCATAGGTCTAGGACTCAACTGGGGGCCCAGGAATTGGGCAACTTACATGGCTTTGCTGGGTGGTCCAGCTGGGGCCATTGGGCAGAGGAGGACTTGTGAAAAATATGATTTTTCTGCTTTCTCGTTACTTCCTCTACCTTTATAGAACTGTTCCTTCCCTAATGCTGTTTTCATTTCTCCTAGTGGTTTAGCTCTTGGGATTTCCATAGCACGGGAGGAGGGCTTAGGCGCCCAAAACAGCTGATGTCCTACCCTGCCCTCCCCAACCAGAAGACCCCAGGAGATTCCTCTCTCTTAATGAAACTTTGGCTTCCTCAGTTTGCAGATTTTCAGGGGAGCCCACCAACGTGTCCAACATGGCCTCTGAAGACATTGCCAAGTTGGCAGAGACGCTAGCCAAAACCCAGGTGGCCGGGGGACAGCTGAGTTTCAAAGGCAAGAGCCTCAAACTCAACACTGCAGAAGATGGTGAGTTCCTGTGCGGGCTGGCCCAAGGGAGGAAAGGGAGTGTGCGAACGAGCACTTGCTTTTACTGGTTGTCAGACTCATTTAGCTACATAATCACATAACTTATCTCTGCAGCTCTGTGAGGTAGCATTGGGCCCGTCTAACAGTGAGGCTCAAAGGCGATTTGCCCTTGAGCACACGCAGGCTTCTCTGCTGGTCTTCATGTTTGCAGTTGGCATTCTTGCCATGACTGCTCAGGCTGGCAGGTGGGAAGTGCCCCTTTATCTCTTGGAGGGACCACAGTTAGTGGCAATCCCATGATATAGTCGCTGACTTCTTCAGATCCACCCCCTCCTTTACCCCAATCATCCAAGCTGGTCTGGGAATACCTGTCACCTTCCCCAGAGCTGAGGCCCTCATGGAGCTGCATTAAAACCACAATCCAGACCATCTCAGGAGGTCCGTGCAGCTGAAGACCCCCCCACCCCCCCCGAGAGGCTGGATGTTCCTGTCTGTGTCCAGGCACAGAGACTGGAGAGAACTAGGAATACAGACCCTTTCTCTCCCTCCCTGGCCAAGGCGTGGCTGGCACCGACCAACCCTGAATCCCCTGGCATCTAGAAGTGAAGGCACCTATGTCTGTATTTCACAGGCCTGTCGATGTCCCAGCCCAGCCAGGGAAACTGGTCTGGACTTGGCCTGGTTGTCGTGGTTGCAGGCTGGCTTGCTCCTCTGCCGGGTCAGAGACTGCTATAGTCCTTGGGTTGCTGGGAGTGTGGTGATGTACATTCCTAACATCTCTACAGGGCCTTAAAATTTACCGAGTTCCTCCCTGTGCTTTGATTCCTTATGATCTTTGCATCATCTCTGAGAGAAGAAGGTAGAAATGTTGCCATTTTATAAGTAAGGGAAAAGGACTTGTGAGACTTACCCAAGGTCATACACCTGGTAAATAGCAGAGCCAGGATTTTAACAGGTCCAGTTGCATCCCTGTTCCTGTGTGTCTCAGTAGACATTCAGCTTGGTGCAGTGAACATGGATTTGCTATTAAATGCTATTCATTGAACATTGTGTCAGGCAGAGTCTTAAGTGCCATACAAATAGTATCTCAGTTTATCTTCCAAAAGCCCTTGTAGTACGTTTCATTCCCATTTTGCAGATTGGAACATTGAGGCTCATGGAGGTGATAGAACTTCCCTAAGGGCACAGCTGTAAGTAATGCAACTGGTCATAGAACTCAAGTTTGGCCCTAAAATCCATGCAGGTAACCACTTCATCAGCCCAGGCTAGACATGTGGCCTCCCATTTATAAGGTCACAGGGATGCCCTGCTTACATCCCCAGCCTCTGAGGAGCCCCTAACCTGAAATAGGAATGAGGTACCCAAATAACTAACAGGTGGCAGACAGTGAAATATACTCTGAGAAACATGACCGGAAGGCCCTGGGAAGGAAGGGATCCCAGGGGAAAGGGATCACTTTTAGCTTAGGAGGGCCCAGAAAGTCTCTGGATGAGGTGGCATTTGAACTATCCTTGAAGGAAGATTTGAAGGAGAAAGGGCACAGCAGGCAAGGAACCATGTGAGGTAGACACAGGAGCTGAGACCCACAGGTAGGCTTGGAAGAAAAGTCAGAATCCCATAGGGAAGCCCAGGGCAGAGGCCCTTCAATGCTATGCTGAGGCCATAACAGCCTTATCATGGGCCCAGAAACGGACTCCGTCTTGGCTGGGAGTGAGCCAGCGTCGTCGGGAAGGCAAAAGCCAGTGCGAGGCCCTGAAGCTGATGATTAGAACAAGGCCCTTTTCTCCCCAGGAAGTCATTTAAGGACAAAGAAAGTCCATTCTGCTGTACATGGCAGAGTGATAAACACCTGGAACTTGTTACTTTGTGAGGTGGCAGAGGCTAAAAAGAAATCCCTGCCACTCAGCCTCAGGACAGTTGGTTATTTGAGGGTGGTTGGTGCCTATTTCTAACCCATTTTTAAGTTAAGATAACTCCATTTGGATTGAAAACCAAGTGAGAGATGAAACTCATTGAGACCCCCACCCTCTGTTGCCCCCACTCTTCCCATTTTGGTGCATTTCCTTCCAAGGCTGGCCTGGGCTTGTGACTCCCCAGGGCTGAACTTGTGGAAAGCACAGCACCTGTGTCTTTCTGCACTTAGGCCACTTATACAGCATAAGCTGTCTTCCCTTGGGGCCCTGACATCTCTGTTACGCTGCTTTTTCTTTTTCTTTTTTTTTTTTTAAGATTTTTATTGGGGAATTGGGGGAGGGGAACAGCGCTGGGGAATCGGGGGAAGGGGAACAGACAAGTTGCTGTCCTTTTGTTCTTCAGTCTAGTTGTGGAGGACGTTGCTTCACTGGCCCAAGTTGGCACCATCATTGCGCTCTTCCCGGGCGAGGCAGATCAGTTGCTGGCTGCTGGCTACACACGGTAGCCCATGGCAACCCACTGCCACAGGGGCTGCAGCCTACACTGTCCCCAGCAACTCACCGCAGCCCAGCTCCAGGTTGAGCTGTTGTTCAGCATCTTAGCTGTAGAGGGCAGTGTCACTGGCCCTCATATGTGGGATCCGAACCGGGGCCCTCTGGTGTCCCAAGCCAGTTCTTAACCATCGCGCCACTCGGCCGGCCCTCTGTTACGCTGCTTTTAAGGACCGTGTAAACATGCCCTTGAGCAGCCCTCCTCTCTCCTTGTTGACCTGGCCAGTCCCTGGATTTTAGAGGGGGCTCCGTTTGGAGCAGGTCTTCCAAAAGGCTGAAAGGTCGTTCCAGCCATTGCCCCCGGTGCCAGCTCAAGTGGTCACCCAGGAGAGCGAGGGAGGGATTAAGAGCCTTCTCTGGCTGGGGGCTGCATAGAGTCCATGGTTGTGCGCAGAAGCAAGGGTCTGGGGAGGAGCACTTAGGTTCAATTTTGGAAAACCAGTCTGAAGCCCAGTGCTGCCATTTCCCTTGAACTCCTGGGCAGAGATGCTTTATTCCTTGAAACCTCAGCTTTCCCTTCTAGAAAATGGGAGACTCGTATCTGTCCAGCCTTCCTTCTCGTGAAATGAGAAATGGAAAATCAATGCTGGTCACCACTTTCTAGCTGTGTGACCTTGGTGAGCATTTATTTACCTTCTCTGTGTCTCAATGTCCTCAATTATAAAATAGATGTAACAGTAACCACCTTATTAGATGTGGTACGGGATGAATGAGATAATGTGTGTAAAATGTGTGTTAAGTGCTTTCTGTATATGGTAGTGAGGAAGGCAGAACCAGGTCCTTTGCTCATGGAGCTCATGACCCAGTGAGGAAGATAGTATTAACAAAGTCATCATATAATCATCAAGTACTCACTTAGACGGGTGTAAAATTGTAGCATGTTACACAGGAGAGACTGGGGCGTTGCTGCCTATGGAGACTTGACTTGGCTGGGAGGTTAGCAAGGGCTTCTGAGGCCAGAAGTGCTGCTGCGGTGGAAGGGAGAGGGAGGGAGGCAGGCAGGCAGGCAGTATGTATGTGCAGAGGCCGCCAGCTCGGATAACTTAGGGAGCCCCTTACAGGCTGTAAGTTACAGTCTTTCTCTAGGACCTCTGTAGACTTTGTAACCTAGAAGGTCAAGTTCAAACTTTTATCTCCATTTATATTTCTGTCTCTTCTTACCATGTCACTCCACCTTACTCCATCCTGTGCCAGCCAGACTAGATTTTGTTCTGTTTCAAGCAACTGGTGTGTTTTGTTCAGATTATAAAGTTAATACATGCTCATTATAGAATAGTGTTTCTGTAAACACTGAAAGAAGGGAAAAAAACCAAAAACCTATATCTTCATTATCACACAGCCCAGGAATATAACTACTGTAATTTTGGTACATTTTCTAGTCTGTATTTTCCTAAAAGTATCTGAGTTCCTTTTTTCATGTGGGGCAGTAATAATTGAGATTATATTACAGATACTTTTAAAACTGCTTTATAACCTGATATATTGAGAACATTTTACTGCAGGTGATGGAAAATACAGAATCATCCATAATCCCATCACCTAAAGATAACTGCTTTAATATTTGGTTTCTATCCTTGTGGACTTTGGTGTGTGTGTGTGTGTGTGTGTGTGTGTGTGTGTGTGTTGCGTGCGCATGCGAGAGAGAATAAATATACATTTTAAAAGTGTTATCAGACCAAATACCATTGGAAAACCTCATTTTTCACTTACCACTATAACATGAATATTTTCTAAGTCAAACACCTGTGTCACCATTCATGATGACATTCATGTAACTATACCCTAGAGTATTAACCTGTCCACCTATCCTTTGTTGATGGACATTTAAGTTGTTTGGAATTTTTCATCATAATAAAACAATATGGTAATGAACACCCCAAACATGAATGATTTAACACTTGGAGGCCTTCATGCCGTGGTGCCTGCTGGCCCTCTGCTTGGGGGCCATTTCCCTGTTGACCTGGTGTACCCCTGTCCTGGAAGGCTCCACTCCACGCGCACTACTCACGGGTGTCCCAAGCATCTCCTTTACCCTAAGCAGCCAGTTGCTCTTTGCCTCAGCCCCCAGACCTCTTGTACGTGCCTTGTTCCAACACTCATTTAAAGACATTATCCATGTAGCTGTGTCCCTGCTGGATGGTGAGCCCATCTGAGTCTCCTTGGTAAACCGGGCCTGGCACATAGCCGTTGGGTTGTGAGTGACAGGTTAGTGGTGAGGCTCTCTCCTGCCTCACTGTTCATGACTCCAAAAGTCTGAAGTTCTGTTCTTTGGTTTTGGGCAGCCAAGGATGTGATTAAAGAGATTGAAGATTTTGACGGCTTAGAGGCTCTGCGCCTGGAGGGCAACACGGTGGGCGTGGAAGCAGCCAGGGTCATCGCCAAGGCCTTGGAGAAGAAGTCGCAGTTGAAGGTGAGATCTGCAGGACGAGCAGGCCCAGACTGGTTGGGGACAAGCTCCCGCGCACATGGCTACAACCTGAGCTGTGTCCAGACCTCCGGGGCCCCTGCCTTGTTGGCAGTCAGCATGAACAGCTCCTCTCCTCTGGCCTCCCCAGAGCGCTCAGCACTGGCCAGGGCCCTTCTCCTTGTGTAATGAGTCCATTCGGGTCCTCCAGTAACAGACACTGAGATGCTGTTAGGAGTGTACGAGGTTTATTGGGTAACATGCGTGGAAAGTAAAGGGGGGGAAGGAGCAGAATTAGACAGGGAGAGCCTTCAGCCTGCCATGCGGATCTGGTACCTGTGAGGAGAGAAGGGCACAGAAATGGGCCTTGAGAGTCTCCCTGTTGGCACAAATTCTCAGCCCACCCAGTGGAGCTCCAGAGCACGGATTGCCTGGTAGAGGAGTGTTGGGTGCAAATGGCCAGGCCTCAGCTCAGGCACCTGGGCCAACTGGGAGGGTGCTGCAGCCCGAGGCGGCCAGCTAACCGCATTCTGCACAGCTGAATGGCAGGTTCTTTCCTACAGTTAGCTCAAAGTGGTACCCCTCCTAGGGTGTTCCAAAGTGGGTTCCACTGAAAACCAGTACTTCAAGGTCCTCTTTGAGAAAAGTGGGGTATCAAGCAGGCACTGCATGCCCCCTTCCCAGGAGCCCCAGCTAATTAGCATATTAAAGCCTGTGAAGAGTCATGAGGGAAGAGCCTTGCTTCCAGACTGGAAATGGCTCTCTTTAATTTGTAGAAGGCGAGGCTTGCGCTAGGCTCTTCACACGTGTCATTTAATCTCACAGCGACCCAGGTAATAAAGACTCTCCGTTTTGTGCATCAGTGGAACTACGGCTCAGAGGGGCTGAGTAAATAGCCCAGGATCTACTGCCGCTAAGTGGCTGGGCCACACTGCACACTCCCGAGTCCAGCGCTCTTATCATGGCACCGCTGCTTTCTGAAGGGTACTGGGCTGGGGATCACCAGGGAAAACAGTACATTTGCCCGGTCAGGGCCTGGGGCTAGTTTATGAAGTGGCCGTTGATGTTTGTTTCCTCAGGAAGATCTCGGTCAGGTTAACAGCCCGGGCAGTGACTGTTTCTGCTCTCCTGCCCAGGGCTGGCCTTGAGCAGAAGCTGGGATGTTTTCCTACAAAAGAGTTCAGCCCTGCCCAGTGATTGCACAAAAGAGGAACGGAGCAGATGTGTCTGGGCCTCGAGGCTGCAGAAGCTGAGCTTTGGCATCCAGGGACCTGGGCTCAAGCCCCAGCATCACCTCCTTATTTGCATTACACGGCTTTGCAGTAGACTCAGCTGAGCCTGTCTCCTCTACGAAGCTTTTCCTCCCTGAGAGGTTGCCATGATGGCCACGTGCAGGCTCATGTCATGAGAGGGCTCGGCCAGGGGGAGTGCTGCGTGCAGCTTGTCACCCTGTACAGACCCAGTGCCCTGAGACACCCCACCCCATTTCAGTCCTGCTTCTGTGCAGGAAGGAGCCCAGGGTGGGGGCAGGGACAGGTGGGAGCTGCCTTTGATGTCCATCGTGCTCTGGGCACAATACTGATTCAGGATAAGATAGTATCTCCCCTGTTGTACCATGTGCACAGTTAGGTCTTGACAGGTGAGAAAAGTGTGGCCACCATCACATCCCAGGAGTGGACTGGATTTGGAGCCCAGATATCAGCCCAGCCTCCTCACTGGTCTGTTGCCCACTTGGAGGTCATGAGGCTTAAAAGTCTATTTTATTATTATTATTATTATTTTTAAGATTTTTTTTTTAATTGGGGAATTGGGGGGATGGGAACAGCGCTGGGGAATTGGGGGAAGGGGAACAGACAAGTTGTTGTCGTGTTGTTCTTCAGTCTAGTTGTGGAGGATGTTGCTTCACTGGCCCAAGTTGGCACCATCATTGCGCTCTTCCTGGTCAAGGCAGATCCGTCGCCGGCTTCTGGACGGCTGTTCACTGCGGCTGCTGGCCACTCACGCTGGCTGCTGGCTACACACGGTAGCCCATAGCAACCCACTGCCACAGGGGCTGCAGCCCTAAAAGTCTACTTTAAAGATAGGATACCAGGGGTCAGAGATAGGGCGTAGTAGGTCTGGGGCCAGTTACGTTGGGTTGAAAACCCAGGCCTTGTGCCTTGGGGCCCCCTGCTGACCTTCAGCCCATCAGAGTTGGATTTCAGAAGCATGGAGGAGAGATGCCAGTTGTGAGAGGCTCTGGAACACAGACAGTGGCCCTGTCTTGGCCTGTGTGCCAGTGCAGTGCACTGAGCAGACCTGTACAGCGTGTCCTGAAGGCCTCAGGTGTGTTAGTGACTTTGCTTTACCTTCTACAAAACCAGCTTCCCCAGTACTTAAGGTTGGATTTCGTTCATACATTTTAAGGACTGGATTTTCAGGGGAAAAGTGCTTCTCCTTGTCCCCTCATTTCCAGGTTTGGCCTAGAAAGGCCAGACGTACCCGAGTTATTTTGGACACAGCAACCAAAATTGGAGGGTAGGGCTATGTGCACAGAGACTAACTGTGCTGGCCAGCATGTTACACGACCCAGTCATATGGCCACCAACCACCTTTGTGACATTTACCTAATACCTCCTCTAAATCAGCTCCCTTTGAAGTAATTGAAAAACAAACACGACCTCTTTTATAAATGGAAAGTGTTATCATTTACCATTGCCACCCAAAGGCCCTGAGCTTGAGGCCTGCTCCCGCTTTGTTTGACAAACAAGTAGAGAGGCAGGCAAGACCCGCCAGCCTCAGTGAGGTCACCTCCTGGAGGCGGCCAGGAGGGTTGAAAAGAGGCTTGAAAAAAGAGTAACTCCCTGGGCCTGCTGAGTGGCGCGTTGGTTAAGAGCAGGCTTGGGATGCCAGAGGGCCCTGGTTCGGATCCCACATATGAGGGCCAGTGACACTGCCCTCTACAGCTAAGATGCTGAACAACAGCTCAACCT